CATTCTTTTTTTGCATTGCCATCTCCTCTGCCTCTTCCTATTCACTGGCACTTTTACATGCAAAGCAGGATTTGGGATCCAAGGCCCCGTAATTAGACTCCAGCCCAGCAGCTGCAAGTGGAACAGCTGGAGGTGTTATTTTTATGGGTTATTAATTGACTCCATGAAAGCCCAGCAAACAGAGACAGCCAGCGAGCCACAGCCCACAGCCACATGACAAGGTCTTAGTGACAGGAAAAGATAAAATAAAAGAGAGAACCCAGAATCCTAAAGCCGATTAGTTATAGCAATTTCTCCAAAGCTAAATATAGGAAAAAAATCCTCTCCCATCTTCACTCCGTTGGCGGAGATGAGAAAGCACAAGGAAGGAGATAGAGACAAATTTCATTTTTCACTTAACCCCATCATGGGTTGCAGAGAGAAATAGCTGCTTTAGTGATGCTCCCAATATTTAAATCCAGCTTCCCTGGCAGCTACACCCTGACCAGCCCTTTCCTTGGCACTGAGAAGTGGAGCTGCACTTGCTCCAGCCTCCCCATGCTGGGCAGGGAAAGCTCCCAGTGCCATCCCAGCACCCAGTCATGTCCAGGCTGGCACAGTCCCCAGTGCCTCTGCTCACCTGCCAAGGTGAACTTGCAGAGCCTCCCCTCTAAGGGGCTGAACCACCCACACTGCCCAAAACCAAAACAGGGGGGAGCCAGGAGACCTCCTGCCTCCAGCTCTCCTTCCTCCCTGTCTTTCCTGCAACTGGGACAGACAAGGCTTGGGGACAGGTGAAGCCACTTAGTGCCAGGAGAGAAACCTCACATCAGGGGCTGGAGTAAGGAAAAGCTTAGAGTTTTGGCAGCAGGAAGGAAATGGATCTGGGTCATCACCTTGGCAAAACTTATTGCACATCTCCTCAGACCTCGGGGAAATAAATAACAGGCAACTCAAGCAGAGATGCTGAGAGGCTGGGAAACCAGCAGAGCATTTCAGATTTATGGGAAATTAATTTAGCTCTAGTCTGGTTCTGGCAGCCAGCAAGGCCCTGTCCCCAAGACAGCCCAGTCTGCTGGCCTGGGCTGTGGCCTCTTTGTTCAGACTTTCAGCTTAACTTCCCAAAATAAATCACAGTCCTAGGCCAGAGGTGGAGCAGCACCTCTCCCAGCGCAGAGGACAGCCAGGATCCCAGCACTAGGCATCACCTGTGCTGGCAGCCAAAGGGGAAGGGGAGGCAGCAGAAAGGCTGCTGTTCCTTGGAATCTTCTTTGCCAATATCGTGAGAAACTCAGCCCAAGAGAGCCCCCTCCTCATAAGGATGCAGGACAGGGGCTTCAAAAGCATGGATTTCATGCTGATACGTGGCCTGTCCCCAGGCTGGAGGTCCCCACAGGAGTATCAGCTCCATGCAGAACAAACGGCAGGAGTGCCAGGGGCACCGGGACAGCCCAGGTTTCCCAATGGGTCTGGCAGGGCTGAGTACCCAGCTACAGGACTACAGAGTCACATTGCTTTCTCCTCACCCATTAACTCATCCCACCCAGACAATTGCTCTGTGTCTGACAGCACGGGAGCAGCTGTGGGTTTGCACAGGCCCTGTGTCCCCGGGGTGCTACATGAGGCCCTCCCACACTACCTTTAACCTGGGCAGGTGGGCTGCAAACATGCTCCAGGAATGGAACTCGACATCACCTGAGTGACCCTGCTCAGGCTTGGGGAGATACATGTTGCTCCTGCATCCACAGGTCTGGCGTTCCCACATCTCCCCAGGCATTTTTTCCCTAGTAAGTCTCAGTCTCTGCCATCTGTGCTACCATCACACCTCTCCACAAGATCCAAAGCCGTGGTTGCGCAGGGATAGACAGCGCTTTGGGGACAGCAGAAGGGAAGGGAGGCTTCTTCGAGGGGGTGTCAGAACCACAGGTGACATTGCTGGAGAGCAGAGAGCTGCAGGCAGCTCCCAGGGTTGTGAAAGTCTTTGGCCTCCACAGCGTGGGATGGGGATCTGAGAGCAAAGCACATCAAGCGAGCTGAAGAGAGTGACATTTTCCTTCCCAGCTGCTATATCCGTGCCCACACAGCCGGTGGGATGACTCCGTGCAGCTAATGATGCAACGTGATTAGTAAACAGATGATGCATTTGCACCAGGAAGGAAAAAAAAAAGAGGAAGAGGGGAGAAAAAAGGAAGAAAACAAGCCACATTCTGGGCTAGCAGCATGCAGCAGTGAGTTCTTTAAAAATCTGCTGAGGAAGGCACTTGCACAGCACATGGTTTGGGCAGATCAATGAAGCTGCAAAGAGGCCTGGCAGGCACACAAATCCACTTTCTAATGAAATTTACAGCAAGTGGAATTTAGGTCACTACTCGGAAGCATTCAGTTTATTCCAGGCAGCTTTTAAAATATTTAAGAAATAGCTGTCAAATTAAGCCTGCTCACCTCTGGCTGAAAGGTTCAACTTGAAGCCATGGCAGATTTCTTAGCTATGGTTTAAAAATATATATTCTTAAGGTTTCTTTGATTGCCCCCTCCCTTCGTTATCACAGTGACTGACAGGAACTGCCACGCAATCCTGCCTCTGGTGGGAGCTGAGAGCCCAAGGGATGCTCAGGCTGTGCCCAGCCCAGCCTTATCCTTCCCCAGGGTCAGGGCAGTGAGACAGGAGACGTGACCTTCCTGCAGCCTGTGCCCTCCCTCCAGCAGAGACCACAGGAATTTATCTGCTGCTGAAGGAAGAGCAGTGCTACAGCCAGACCTAAAAACAGCTCCCGAGGGAGCAGATAAAAGCAGCCTCTTAGCAGAGGTGAACCTTCACTAAAGCTGAGTGATGCTGACTGGAAGGATCTGGGCTGGACTGCTGGTTGCCAGTACTATTCCCAGATGTCACACTCTAAGAGAGCTGCCAGAGCCACCTCAGCGGGTGATGGAGGGAGAGGAAAGGTGGAAACCAGGCAGTTCTCTGGCTGTTTACCCAGCAGAAGTGGCCACAGCCCCAAATCTGCACACTCGCAATTCCTGCCCAGATCAGAGCTAAAGTACAGACATTTCCTCTTCCGACAATGCAAAGTTCAACCCTTTGCATAACACACTGACACCAATTGAACCAATTCCTGCCCCAGCTCAAGGTCCAGCCGGGCACAGACCTCTCAGCTCTTCCAGCCTCAGCATAAACCAGGAGCAGAGGAGGAGAGAGCAGAAGGCAGCCTCGCAGCAGGGCTGGGCTCCCAGCGTGGGGCTGGTTCCTGGCCAGCTTTCAAGGACTGTCCCAGTAGAGGAGCACTGTGGCCTCATGGTTATGGGGGCTGAGGGCTTAGTGGGAGGGGAGAGGCCACAGCCACAGCAAGGCACTCACTGGGACGTGCTCTGAAGGACAAAGAGGTTTTCTTCCCCATTGCTCACCAATTTGCCCTACTTTGGCAGCTGCCTGCTGCAGCCCAGGCTTCTCCCCTGCCCACAGGGGACCTGCTCCCTTTCCACAGGGTCTGACTGGATCCCAGCCCGGCCCCAGTGCTTGGGATTTGGCCTGCCTGCAGTTCAGGTAAAACACAAGTGCCCATGCAAACACCTCTGCCTCCTTCCTTGTTATTTTTGAGCTGCACACGTAAATATCCATTTCATGCTCAGCTGATGGAGGATTTGCTTGGCTGGGTTATGACCCTGGCTGGGGCTCCACAGCTGGCTTTGTACCAGGATCTGGCACCGGAGGACACAGTCGGTCCCTGACCTACCCCCCACAATCACTCTTGGCCGTGGATGAGCACACCAGGATGCAAGTGCTGAGCACCACTGCTGCACCACTCACCACGGCCCCAGGGGGCCTTTCCTTCTGCTCTGCCTTGCAGGACACTGTCAGGCACAGCAAAAGCCAGGCACGGAGAGGGATGAGCAGGGATCAGCGTGTAGAGAAAACACCATCCCTGCACAGCTCCACAAGCCTTGCTTTCTTCCCCTGCTGGCACTGCCCTCTCCAAATAGCTCAGCTTTGACCTCAGGTTAATTCACACCAGTGCCCATTCAGCCGGATCACCGCGTTGGCAACAACCCCCTTGGATGGAGAATCTCACAGGCAGGCTCAGGGCACTGGTGGTCCCGGTGGCCTCCCTGCCCAGAGCTAGGACCTGTCCCCAGGTGGAAGGAAAGGGAACTTGCCATGTGCAAGTTATCCCTCCAAGCAGCCTCTCCCAGGTACCCACACTGGAGGTGGGCACTAACTGATCAAACCCACGGCTGACCTGCCTCCCCCTGCTCACAGACGCTGCCCACGAGCAATTCCTGGCTGTCCAGGGCCAGCCTTGTCCCACAGAGCACCTGGAGAGCCCGGCTGGGAATTGTATAATGCACCAGTAGCCTGGGATGCTGCCAGGGCACAGAGCAGGGATGTAATCCCACCATGGCCTTGCTGTCTGTGCATCCCATTAAAGGAAGAAAAGTCTCCCACTTTTCCAGTTGCAGTGAAAGCCAAGGATTCTGCGGAGCTCCACACCCTCTAGTGGAGGTGGGAGCTTGGCACACAGAGACGCTCCCAAATCCTGCAGCACTCCCGAATTCAATGCAGGATCCAATTCCCCCTACAGCTCCCCAAAGCAGGACTGAGGCACTGCACTCCTCCAGCGTGTGACTGCTCAGGCCCAGGCCACAGGTGTCAGTGCAGCAGCAGCTCTGTGCCTGCCTGCACACACCCCTGCAGCATGTTAAGCATCCTTCTACTTTGGTCATGCACAGTAAGAAATATTAAATACGAAGAAAGGAAGAAAGTCAGCTTTGAGCAATGGATTTTATTTATGTTTACCATCTAGTTAGGTTAATCTGCTTTCTGTAACTACAGGAAAGCTGCAGAGGGACTTTTTACAAGAGCCTGGAGTGACAGGACAACGGGAATGGCTTCAAACTGAGAGAGGGAAGGGTAAGATTGAATGTTAGGAAAAAAGTCTTTACTGAGAGGGTAGAGAGGCCCGGTACAGGTTGCCCAGAGCAACTGTGGCTGCCCCATCTCTGGAAGAGCCCAAGGCCAGGTTGGACAGGGCTTGGAGCAACCCAGGATAGTGGAAGTTGTCCCTGCCCACGGAAGGGGGGTTGGAACTACATGATCTTTCAGTTCCCTTCCAATCCAAACCATTCCTCCTAAAAGACCACACAGGTAAAACCAAACTGCAAGGGCAGCTCTTACCATCCTGCAGAACCATCTCCTGGTCCAGCCACCTGAAAAGAAACAACCAGGATGTTCAGCCAGAGACCCTTGTCCTACACAGACCCATCTCCTCTGGATCAGTGTTAACTGAAGCATTATCCCACCCTCAGCTCTCCACAAAATCCTTCCCAGTAGCACCTCTACCATGAACACTTCCCAACAGCTCACCAGAGCCAGATCACCCATCTGACAGCAACAAGAAGCAAGAAAAGCACTTTTTATTTTGGCAAGGAATTTTTGCCAAAGCCATGATCACTCTGGTGCCAGGTTCCCAGCACAGGCCTTCCCCTCTCCCCTTCCCCTGAGCTGACCCCAGCTGAATCCCCCTCAACTGCAGAACAGAAACCAAATATGTAACAAGAGAGCAAAGTACACAACTTCAACAAAGCCTTACATTTGCTCAAGTACAGAAACCACCTTATCACTATTCCCTACTAAGTGGGGAACAAAGTTTTGGAACTCAAATACTATCTAGTGATAAATCAGGTGAAAAAAAAAAAGTCTGAACAAACATACCCAAGTTCTGTTTTCCACATCCGAGAGAGTATCAGTTTGATTTTGCTACATGACTTTCAAAACAAGACTCAGTATACACTAAAGAATCTAAACCCCGTTTTTCCCTGGATTAGGGGGTGCAGATGTTGTATGCAGTATCATACATGACCATCAGAATGCTTCATGAATGCTCACACCTGTTACTGCACAGGTGAGCCCCAGCACGGAGCCCACCTGGGAGCTGATCTCGGGCACGGGTCAGACTGGCTGGGACGAGGCCGGGCCTGCTGGCCCCACCACCCAGCAGCCCTTCCCCAGCCCACAGACCCACTGCCCCTGCCCAGGAGGGACACACGGGGCTCACCCGACTCACCTGGTCCTCCCTCCCCTCAGGAATGGCAGCACCAAGTGCCAACACACCCACCCATGTCACCATCGGGGGCTGTGGCTTCTCGGAGGCCCCGGCAGGAAATCCTGTGACAGAAAAACTTCTGTGAAATTCACAGGAAAAAACAACAGTCCAGTCTGGCTGTTGGCCCTGGAGAACACCCTGCAGCCCCCTCCCCCCTGCACAGCTCACCCCCTGAGCCCAACTCAGCCCTCCCCCACCACCTCAAGCCCCCTCACTCTGTGTTCCTGCCCCACACCCACACCCTGCTGTGGGCTTCAACACCTCCCCCAGGGAGGAACCACAGCCCAGGGCTGTCCTTGCACAGCACCCCAGCTCTCCTACCGACCCCCCTACACTGCAGCTCCCCCCAGAACCCCATATGCTGCCCCCCAGTACCTCACCACCCCCCGACACCGCATCCCAAGCCCCCCCGCACCCCTCCAGTGTTCCAGCCCCCAAACCCTGGCTCTCCCAATCCCCCACTGAAGACCCTCCTGCACCCCATACCCTGCCCTCCAGGCCTTCACTACCCCATCACCGCATCCCAAGCCCCTCCCGCACTCCCGTAGCGCTCCAGCCCCCCCCCCCCCCCCCCCCCCCCCCCCCCCCCCCCCCCCCCCCCC